AACACTTTCCATGTTCAATGCACTGTGCTAGAGTAACCCCTTCAGCCTTCTCAGAGAGCTCCCTAACCACATTGACAACAATATCCAGCAAGCCAAGAGTCAGCCCCAGCTTATATCAGGCCTGTAGCCATACAACCTCTTAACACATGTAAGTGCCTATACATGCCTTCTCAACCAGGATCCAAAATCCATACTATGACTATACAAGAGAACATGCCTTTAACCAAGGACGAGGCAGAGTCTAATTCCGTATGCATAAGCAGGGCTTAGCATTTTAGGCACAAGCCCCAGGCTCAAAGAGAGCCTAAATCTATACCACTTCAGCAAATGATGGGTTACCCTTTCTCAAGCACTTGGCTTAAACATAGGTCAATACAAAACACAATTTAGCCCCATACGAACACCAAGCACAGTTCAAAGGGGCCCTCAGACCATGGCCTTAACCTTGTCTCTGCCTCTGTAAGCCATAATATAAATCTTACTCATATAGGTGCCCAAGCAAGAATCAATGACCCAGCTGTCCACACTGTAAGTTTTTGCTTATATCTATAGTTTATTCATCTTCATTAATAATAATATTTCATGGAATATGGCATTATTTATTTATGTACACTACTCTCGAGGGACAGTTTATATGTGTGTGTGTGTGTGTGTGTTTGTATATACATATATGTGTATATATATTCCTGGGGTAACATAAGCATGTATTTCTGTTGGATTTGTATCTAAGCGCAGAATTGCTCAATAATAAAATATATATATCATCAAGTTAGTAAATAATACCAAACAATTTTCTTTTTTTTTTTTTGAGAGGTTTTCGCTATAGGGCGTGTGTGCCCCCCAGACAGACAGAGACATAGAGATAGAAAGTGAGAAATCACCCCCCAGGGGGGATGGCCACGCCGCAATCCCTTCTCCTCCATTCTCCTCTCGGGATCTTGGGCACGCACGCACACGCACCCGGAGTGAGTTTTAAGCCACCGGGTCCGGGACACGAACCGTGGTCGACTACGTGGGAGTCCAGCGACATAGCCATTACGCTAACTGCTGGTTCCCACAATTTTCTTTTTTCATTTGCTAGAGAGCACATGAGTTCACCAGAGGAGCAAGACAGAAAGAAACAGCCATAAAGTGAGAAAGTGCTCCCCCTCCATGGGAGATTGTCACACCACCATCCTTTCTCCTCCATCTCTCCCTCCTTTTGGGATTTTAGGCATGCACATTTAGACTGGAGGAGAAGGGGTTGCTGCATGGCCAGCTTCCCTAGGTGGATGATTTCTCTCTCTCTGTCTCTTTCTCTCTCTGTCTCTGGCAAGTGCACATACCCTATAGCAAAAAAAAAAAAAAAAGAGGAGGTTGGTGGTCTGAATTGCCTGGTCTGCCTTTTGTCCTTTACCTGCTGTGGAAGATCTAGAGTAGGTCTTCACTTAAGATGAGGTGAGTATTTCAAAGCTGTACAAAAGCAGGCTAATGGAAAGATAAGAAGCGGCCCAGCCTTGGTGGCCCAGGCAGTAGCACTCTGATCTGCAGTGCTGGAAGCCACATGGCCAGCTGCAGGTTTGGATCCCAAGTTGATCTGAAACACACCAGGCACTCATGCACCAAAGATTCTGATAGGCTGGAGGGCTAGGGGAAGGGAAGTGCAATATGACTTGACTCTCTTGGGGATATTTATATCTCATGGTCTCCCTCTTGCTCATGAAAAAAAAAATAATAATAAAGTTTATTTCATTTTTAAAGATCAAGAGTGGTACCCTGGGCACTCCTTATTTCCTAATTCTGTGCTTCCCAGTCTTTCTCTTTTACTTTTTGTTGTTGTTAAGAGATTTTTGCTATAGGGTATGTGGTCACTGGAGACACAGAGAGAGACAGTGAGAAGGAAAATGAGAAATCACCCCCAGAGAGGATGGCCACACCATAATCCCTTCTGCTCCATTCTCTTCCCAGGTTCTTGCACGCACACGCACAGGTGCCCGGTGTGAATTTCAAGCCATTGGTCTGGGACTTGAACCACAGTCAGCCATGTAAGAAGCCTGTACCTTAACCACTACGCCTCCTGCTGCTTCCCCTCCCCAGTCTTTTTCTCATAGTACTCATATAAGTGACTCTTTTTCTTAAATATTTTAATTTTAATTAATTAATTGATGTACTTTTTTTTGGAGAGGTTTTTGCTATAGGGCACGTGTGCTTGCCAGAGAGACAGAGAGAGACAGAGAGACAGAAGGTGAGAAATCACCCCCCAGAGAGGATGGCCATGCCGCAATCTTGTCTCCTCCATACTCTTCCTGGGATCTTGGGCACGCATACACACGTGCCCGGCATGAGTTTAAGCACTTGGCATGAGTTTAAGCCACCAGGTCCGGGACTCGAACTGTGGTTGGCTACATGGGAGTCCAGTGACACAGCCATTTCGCCAACTGCTGGTCTTGTTTAAATTATTTATTTCATGAGAAACAGAAAGAAAAAGACAAGCACTTTCAATAGGTCTCACACCACAACCTCCCCCACTCTCTACCCCCACGCCATCCTAGCGAGCCAGGACCACAGGCACGTGCACCTGGCTTGTGTAGGTTGACCCAGAAACTGAATCTGTGATCTTCCACTTGGTGACAGCAGCCCTTGAGCAGCATGTGACTGCTGCACCACCTGTCCAGCTCTGGATATGGATCATTTAAGGTATGCTGTGGTAACTAGACAGGCCACAGCCAGCAATGATCAGCCTGAGCGCTCTGCTGCACCCAGTCCTATGGGGCTATCATGAGGACTGGGGAGTTCAATACCTCAGGACCCCTGAACCCAGAGGCACACCTATGTGCAGTAGCACATCATTCAGGAAACTGTTCCCTAACTCTTCCCTTCTTTAAGCTGTTCCCTGAATTCAGGAGTCATTCCCTCACACCCACCTTCACATTCTGTCTTTGGATGTGTATTCTCTTCCCATAAAATAATGAAGTCCTCCACTGGACTACTGCATTCATGTTGGAAAATTCACTTTACAAGCTAAGTGATGTATAGTGATTGAATGTATAAGAAAAAGTTTTTAAAAATTATAATAATGAAGTCCTCACTCCCCTAGTCCTTTCTTGAGTCCTGCAGTGTCAGTTCTCTGGGGGCAACTGGAGGGACTGAGGAATGAGCAGGGCCTGGAGGCTCAGGTCAGGGATGCGGGCCCAGGGAGAATGACAGAGGACGTGGGAGGGACTGAGGAGTAGGAAGGCCTGGGAGGGGCATGCCAGGGAAGTGAGGTGGCCCAGGGAGAATGACAGGGCACAGGGAGGACTGAAGAGTGGGCAGGGCCCGGAGGCTCACTGGTTATCTCTGTGTCTCTCCAGTGAGCAAATATACCTTCTAGCGAAGTTTTCAAAATATGTATTGATAATTAGTGTGGGTTTGTAACATGGCTTTAAAAAGTTTTAGAAAATTTTGTACTACAATATTATCATTATGTTATTTATTTTTAATTGTGGATTCTATCATGCCAGGATTCTCTTGGCAATGTGAGGTGTTTATTTCTCCCATGCCAGGATTCTCTTGGCAATGTGAGGTGGGAGGGGTGTTTTCTCCCATCGAAGAGAATAGGAAAAAAAAAATACTGTGTGTTTTACCCTGCTTCAAAGTTGTTCTTTTTCTTTCCTCGGAAGTACCTAAAGATCAAACTCACCTCTCTATTACTTCACAGAGGACCTTTGGAGCATACGTGTGTGTGTGTGTGTGTGTGTGTGTGTGTGTGTGTGTGTTTAAATGTACTTCAGAGAGAGAGAGAGAGAGAGAGGCAGCACTAACAGGTCTTTAGCCTCAGTCTTCCTGAATAATGCTACCGGGAGGCTTTGAGACACCATGCACCTTTCCGTGAATTTCCAGTATCACAGTATTAGGTTACCATGGCAACCCCTACCCAAAATATTTTCCTCACCCCCCAAAGAAACCCTGTATCCCTGAATTTCCTTCTCCCAATACCCTGGCAACCAGTAATCTACTCTTTGTCACTAGGGATTTTACTATTGTAGGCATTTAATGTAAATAAAATCATACAGTGTGGCCTTTTGTGACTGGCTTATTTCACTTTAGTCCATCCATGTTGCAGCAGGTATCAGCACTTCATTCCTTTTTAACTGCTGAATAATATTCCAGGTATGGATATACTACATTTTGTTTATTCATTCATCTGTTCATGAGCATTTAGGTTATTTCCAAGTTTTGGCTATTATGATTAATGCCACTATGAAGATTTATTTACAAGTTTTTATGTGAATCTATGTTCTTAGGTAAATAAAAATGATAAAATAGGTTTTTATTCTTCTTGGCTATACACCTAGGGAGGAAATTCATGGATTTTATGGAAACTCTATTTGAACATTTTTTAAAAGAATTATTTCATTTAACATTTTTTTAATTTGACCAGAGAGGGACACAGAGAGAGGGAGGGAAAGTGAGAAAACAAGCCACCAGGTCCAGGATTTGAACCACAGTTGGCCAGGTGGAAGTCCAGAGCCCTCAACTACCACACTACCTGCTGGCCCCTCTGTTTGAACATTTCTTTTTTTGGAGAGGTTTTTGCTATAGG